GGGGGCACAGAAGGGAATTGGTGAGTATTTATTCAACAAGGCGCCCCCAGGGGTTACAAGAAATAATGGCCACAAGCTAGCAGACAGCAGATTTAGATTGGACATTAGGAAGAACTTCTTCACAGTTCGAGTGGCCAAGGTCTGGAACGGGCTCCCAAGGGAGGTGGTGCTCTCCCCTACCCTGGGGGGAGCATCGAGCGGGGGTCATCTAGCCCCAGCCCTCTTTCCTGCCTGTGCAGGGGGTCAGACTCGATAATCAACTGAGGTCCCTTCCGACCCTAACATCTATGAATCTATGAATCTAACCCACAGTCCCCTGCCCCCCACACCACCCAGCCCTGCCTGAGGGGCCCCCCAGCTGCCCCCATCCCACTTGACTGGAGTGAGGTGGCTGTAGCAGCTCTGGCTCATGAGGGTGCCAGCAGAGCAAGTCTGGCCCTGTCATGGGCTGGAGGGAGGAGGAGAGAGGCCCGTGGCACCCCTCCTGCCCTCGACTGGGGCTGCTACATCACACCAGGTAGCCTGGTCATGGCTCCTCTCAGCCCCTGAGCAGCACTGCCATGAGCACAAGCACTGGCCCCGGTGCCACCAGCCCAGCCACACAGCTCTCCTCCACTCCCTTCCCCCACGGGAAGGGGCAGATGCCTTCCCACTGCCCCTCTGCCCTGCCTAGGGTGGCCATCATAGAGGACAATCTGGTTGTTCTCTGCCCTCTATTGATATGGAACCGGACGCCTTTATGTTCTCTATTTTTCCCTCAAAGAGAAAAATAGAGGACATAAAGGGATCAGGTTTTGTATCAATAGAGGACAGAGTAGCCGAAAACCGGAATGTCCTCTATGATGGCCACCCTAGCCCTGCCACAGCTTGTGACCCTCCGAAATATTCTTGCAACCCAGTTTTGGGTCACAACTCATGGGTTGAGAAATGCTGGTTTATACTAACCTGCAAAGACTGAATCAATTCAGGCACCAGCTTTTGAATGTCTGTCCCTAGCCCAAAAGGGAACGAATCTGACACAAAGGCTCTGGCCACCTGCCAGGCCTATTTGACGCCTTACGCCCACAAAGCAATGGTTCACCCTCCCTGATACTAGAGGGAGCTAATGGGGAGGCAGCAACTGAATTTGGGGGACAACAAGAGAGAGGAGAAAACAGGGACGGGGGGAAGTCACTGGTTGAAAACGAGCTCTCCGGAAGGGAGCAGGAAGCAGTGCCCACACACCCAGCAGGCACGAGGCCCAGGACATCTCTAGCCGAGATCAGGGACAGATACCGGCCCCGGGGGCCACGTCAGAGCCTCCTTCCCGGCCAGGTGGACGCGCAGCCCTGGCCGGGCCGGGGAGCTCCGGAGAAGCCGGGGGGCGGGGTGGGGGAACAGTTGTCGGGGTGTGTTACCATGGCCCCACGGGGCCGTTACCATAGCAATGGCGATAGCGACGGCGATCCGTGGCGTCCTCCTCAGGCTCCGAACCGCGCGCGCTCGGCGCTGAGTGGCCACCTCCGCCCGTTCCCACTCGTCACTTCCGGGCGCCCGCGTCGCGGGCAGCGATGTCAGCCAATATGGCGTCTAGCGACTCGGAGCGCAAGAGAAGGAAGCTCGAGATCGCGGGGGATGGCGAGCCGGAGAAGGAAGAGGAAGAGGAAGAGGAGCGGTGGGTCGGGCCCCTCCCGGGAGAGGCCGCGCAAGCGAAGAAGAGGAGAGGTAACGAGCGCGGACCGACCCCGGGAGCTGCTCCGGGGGCTCGGGGCCGGACAGCGCCAGGGGAGAGCCCTGCCCCGTGCCTCCGACACGGGGAGACAAGCCGCCGCAGCTAACGTGCCTTTCCCAGGGGCTAGACCCAAATGCGCCCCTTACCCGAGGGCTTCCTTTTTCCTCTTACTGTTTCACATTTTTCATCTGAATATAACAGAGCTAGGAGAGAGGTGGTCATGCAGCACTGCAGCTCCGTGGCAGTGCTGTGCCACATCCACATGTCCCACAAGGGCCTGTCTCCTCTGCTGTGCCCCTCCAGCAGCTTTGCGCCTCCCCACATTGCCTTCCCTTGGTTTGCAGAGAAAGCTTTAAAGATGCTTGTGGAAGTGGCCATGGGTCGATCTAGGATTCTGAAAAGAGGGTGTAGATGGCATGGTGCACCGAGGCCCATAACACAACACCACATTGCTCTCCATTTAAAAGAGACTATTCATTTTACTAATAGTGCAGGGCCTAGTGAGGTATTATTCAGCTTCTGATGAGCACAAACAAATATAAGTTTACTGGGCTGTGTATTAATTGCATCTAAAAAACCCCAACTAGGCAAAAAAGAATCAAAAGATGTTGTTTCATTGGTTCTGTAGTCATTGGAATTAAATGCACACCTTTCTTTTTTCAGATTCATAAAACAAAGTGCAGTTTTAATTGATTTTTACATCAGAAAGCATTTCAAGTGCTCCATGTATAGGGAAGCAATAACTTAATGGTAGGGAAACCGCTGTTCTTCATACCTCTAGTGTGAACTAATAGAGTGACTTCTTACAGAGCACCTGTTGCTATTTTGTTGATGTAGTTCTAACAAACATACTTGCTTGACATTTTCTCATGAACAGTGCCGTGAATGCAAAAATGGGTTTGACGATATTGATCAGGTGCACACTGAGCAGGATAAGCAGTGATTAATACAGTATGTACCCGATATGTAAATGTTGGCAACTTCATTTAAGTTGTAGAGACAAGAAGAGAAACTGCACAAATAAGTCAATACTTAGCTTTTAACCTACATAAAACAGTGTAAAAATCTGATTTAGTTACAAAATGAAGATGACCAAAATCAGAGAAAGATGCTAATAAAAATGAACAAATTTTCAAGTAGGGTGCTTTCCTAATCTGAATAACTATCCAATTTCATTGTCATATTTGTCTTTCCTTTAGCAATTTGAGACAAATATTTTTGTCAAACAATATTTTTCCTGAGAAATGTAGTCTGTGATTTTTGTGAAATTCTTGATGTGGCATATTGTGGCATGCTCAAAAATAGCAATAATTATATCCATCTTATTAACAATATCAGACAGCTATCTGAGAGATTAGAATAAGCACATATCTTGTCTCAGAAAATTGAAGGGTTTTTTGTTACATATTCTTATGTGACTGCAGTTGTTAGATTACTTTTTGTAGTCCAGTTTAGCTTTGCGGTGGATCACCTGTTCCTAGATAGATTCAGTTGTTCTGGCCATCATTATTAGTCAAAGGACAGAGGACAAACAGGAGAGTCTTTTACATGGGTATTGAAAATGACTACTTCCACTGCTTTTACAGAGGAACTGACATATTCTAACCCAGAACTAATAGTCTCTAGGTAGTCTGTTATCTTGTCTTAAGAAATTGCTAGCCCTGTGTACTACGGAGGAAAATACGAGAAATCCTGATATAACTTCTCCATAAAAGAGTTTCTTCATTTACTGCTTTTGGAACTAAATCTAGAGCATCAGTGTTGTATGTTCATTTATAAACAAAATGTCACTGGCTTTGTCCTAAAATTCTGTCTCCTAGACCGTAACTTCGAGCCCTGAATCTCTGTGCATGAGTTTCTTTATTATAATAATGAAGTGAATGTTGACCAAGTTTCCTTGTAAGTGTTTAAAGATTCTTGGATTGAGATGTTATAAATATTGTATTATGGGCTAAGGGAGGGATCAAGCTAAAGGGGAAATTGGATCAGAAGGTGTATTCCCAAAATATTGGAAATCAACTACTCTTCAACAAAAGGATTTTTATAAATATTTCAGTTTTGTGTAGCTGTCTGTCATCCAGTGGCTGCATTGTTGAGAGGAAGCTTTTCTGTGATTTTAGTCAAGGGAGCCACAATGTGGCCAGGTAGTGCGTATCCCTTGTCTTCTGTCTGCTGGGTGTGTTCCATTTTGCTTGCTACTGCTCTGCCGAAGTCTGGTGGGGCAATTCAAGCAAGTAGATGGAAGTTTTTGTCATTTATTGTTTTAAGGCATCCAGTAATGCACCTGCAACTTTTGTTCAGCACAGTGTCTAGCTTCTCTACATGTGCCTATCTTTCCCAAACCAAGCATGTGTATTCAGCTGCCAAATAACAAAGTGCAAGTGCCTTAGTTTGTAGTGTTGTTGGATGCCCCCCTTCTCTCCTCATATGGAGTTGATGAACTTTTTAAATATGTTGTTCCAGGAACTAACTTTACATTTCCATCTTTTTACATTCACTTTATATGGAAATGTGCAGTCTAGTGTCACTCCCAAATATGTAGGATCTGGGTTATTCCATTCCATTAGGTTGAGCTACTTATTAGTATCTTAGTTCTAAAGGTGGAAGAGACTAACCTGTGTTTTGTTTGGATTGACACATAGTTGATGTACTGCATGATGTTTAGTACTTGACCAGTGCATGATTTCCCTGTGTGGAAGCGAGCTCATTCAGGAATTATGTATTGTTTGACAATCAGTGACAAGCACCTTAAGATAAAGCATCTATAGAGTTTTGAAAGATGACAAAGTAAGGATGTAGGTCTGAAGTTCTTTGGATCTGAGGGATCTATCTCCATTTTTAGGAGTGGTACAATATATGCTTGTTGCTATGTTGGGTATTTTGTACATGGTTCCACACATTGTACAATAAGAGTAGCCAGGCCCAAGTTGTCAAGGCCCGTGGCTTTGCTGTCTTTAATGGTGCTTACTGCAATTGTTAAGTCAGCCACCGTAAAATGTGTCCCAAAGTGAGGAACTTCCTGGTCATCTTTTCTCTTGATTTTGAAAGTTGGGTTGTTTATTTGGTGCCCTACCATTTTCAGTGAGTTGGTCTATGGCCTGATTTGCAGTGATATTGTAGCGTTGTTCATTCTTTTTTTGGTTCGCTAGTAAGTTTCCAGATGGTTGTCCCAGTTTTTTTGCTATTATATGTTATATCCACATTCTCAATGAGATTCTGCCTTTGTCCCTCTGCTAATAAAATGACCAGTTCTTTTGCTGAAGCAATAGGTTCCTCAGCAAACAGGTCTGTATCATACAGTCTGTTGTACTTGGTTTATCTATCAGCTAATTTCGGCGTTAGTCCTGGCACACATTTCTTTCCGCAGCCTCTTGAGAGAGGTCTTTTTGAGATGGTGCATAGCATTTTTACAAACTGCTCATAGTTTTCTGATATTAGTTCAGTGACCACTATGGCAGCATCAAGGTGTTTGGTAAAATCATCTTTGCAGCTGGGCAGCAGGGAGCTTTCTTGTCCTGCGCTGCAGCTGGGCAGTAGGGAGAAGCAGCAGTGGCAGCAGCTGGGTCCTAGCGCTGCCCTACCTTGGCCCTGAACTGGATCATTCCATCCTTCTGCTGGAAACTGTTGCTGACCACTGTCTTGTGTTCTCGACTAAGATGCAAGCAGGCAAGCTGATCAAAGCTTAATTAACATAGAGCTGAAGATAAAATAAGTTTTATCAAAAGGAAATAATTCCTACTTTTTCTTTTAATTTTAGTCCTTGAGTTTGAACACGTCTACCTTGAAAACCTTCCAAGTGCTTCCATGTATGAACGCAGTTATATGCACAGAGATGTCATTACGCATGTAGCATGTACTAAGTAAGTCTTGTTTTTTACAGTCTTGTTTTGCAGTCCAGGAACTAGAAAGAAAACTTCCTGTCATATATATATATATATAGAGAGAGAGAGAGAGAGAGAGAGAGAGACAGAGACAGAGAGAGAATTTTCTTTCTAAAACTAATGGAACTTTAAAATCCCAACTGATCATAAAGTTTTCAAAGGTAATTTTAAAAGAACTGGCTCACTGAAAAAGGGGCTGCAGATTGGTTGCTCACTGAAAAAGGGGCTGCAGAATGTTTCAGCAGACACTACTGATCTTAAATCTATTTATTTATTTTCTCCACAGTTGCTATGTTATGTGGGCTACCTAATGATATCTTGCATTTTGTCCATTAAGTAAATGGAACTATAGTGACTAAGGAGAAAATTATTTTTCTTTAATCGCTTCAATATTTGTATTTTACTTCTAACAATAGTAGAATTTTTAAAAAATCAGACTCATGAATAATATTAGTAATGTTATGTCATGTTTGGTAATGATGTCACGGATTTGTTTACAAATCAGATAAAATGCAAGAAGATAATATCTTGTCTATTGAGGACTGATGCAGAGATTGAATTGCTACTACATACTTGGACAGACTCTTATGGTAGATTGTTTAAATTGTGATAGTATTATGCCTCCCAGATTTGTGCATGGGGCAAGGGGAAGCTGCCCGCTGCGGCCTGTTCCCAGTAAAGGGACGCTGGGCCAGGGCTGTGCTCGGGGCAGGTGCGGGCGGGGAGGATGACGGTGATGCTGGGAGGGGGCGTTATGACCAGCACTGCTACCTGCCCTGCCCCCACCCACCCTGAGCACAGCCCCGGGCCCCATCCACTGCCAGGAAGAGCCTGATGCAGTCTCTGGCCCCATAATTACAATAGGCAACCCTGCCTTTGCCCTGCACACAAATCTGGGGGGCGCATGC